TCAGATATCAGGATAGCTACACCTGCTTTCTTACTGAGGGCAATTGATTGGTAGATCCTTTTCCAACCCTTTACTGTTGGGGGCCTACCTCCAGCTGCTGGTCTGACCTACCTAGGATTCTCGGCTCTCTGCCATAGATCCCTGGCAATTCCCGCCTTTGGAAGGGTTGAGCAGCCTAGACAGCTCCTGTTTGCTCCTACAGGTGCTCTTGGCAAGATCAGATGTTCTGGATGCACTCTCCCAGATGCTGGAGTCTGCTATGGGCTCCTGATTTTTTTTTTTTTTTGGCCAGTGGCCGTTGTGGGGCTTGAACTCTGGGTTGGGTGCTGTCCCTCAGCTCTTCAGCTCAAGGCTGGCACCCTACCACTTGAGCCACAGCACCACTTCTGGCCCTTTCTGCTCATGTGGTGCTGAGGAATCAGATCCAGGGTCTCATGCATGCAAGACAAGCACTCTACCACTGAGCCACGTTACCAGCCTGAGCTCCTGCCTGTTATCAGGTGCTGGCGGCCTGTGTTGCCCAATTCCCAGCCTAGAGTGTATGGGTCGGGTTCTGGTGGGGTTTGGGTTTCTCTTGTCCTGAGCCCCCAGGTCTTTTGCTGTCACAGGCGTGCTTCCCAGGGGGTGCAGTTCCCTGTTTTTCTCCCCTCTGTTGAGGCGTATGCTCAGCTTCTGACTTCAGTTGGGAGGAGTTGGTTGTGTTGTTCAGGTGCTGGATCCCCAGGCCTGGTCCCGGTCCCCCGCCTGGGGCACGCCGTTTGGGCCTGTGCTGCTGTGTATCCCACCTAGGTTATGCAGCCTGGGGGACACAGTTCAAATTTCTTCTACTGTTGGGTGTCTTGACCCAGGGGCGCTGTTCCTGGCTTGGGTGTTTAAGCTCCCTTCAGGGGCGCTCTTGCTCTGGCCTGGCCAGCGGAGTGTGCTCCACGGGCTGGTGGAGCTCTCAAACAGTTCCCAGTTTTAGTGGGTCCTGTGGTCCAGGTGTTGGGGTAGGGAGTCTGGGTCAGGGTCTGGGGATTCCATCCAGCTCTGGTCTCCCTTGAGGGATACACTGTCCCCTGCGGGGTACTCACCCTGGAGCTGGTTGTTTCTGTGTGATGTAGGTCGTCAGTTGCTGTTGCAATCAGAGTTCAGTTGGGGTGGTTGCGGGCTGGGCTGGGCGGTGGTGGCTCTGTGTGATTCTCCTCTGTCTCTGTGTCTGTCGATGCTGTCGAGTCCAGCGTCCACACCGCCGGCCAGGGGTGGGGGTTGGGCCTCCGTACAGGTTCTGAGCGCTGGGGTTTGTCTCTGTTTGCACTCTCCGGATCAGCACCAGTTCCTTGCCGGTCTAATGCTCTGGTGTTCTGTGGGCGACCCGTGTAGCTCTGGGGCTCCCGTCGTGGGGCCAAGTTCTGGGCTCGGGGGTTTCTCCGTTCGTCGCGATCAGTGGGTCTGACACCGGTACCTCAGGCGGCTCTGCGCAGGTGATCTGCAGGCAGCCCCGTGTGTCTTTGGGCCTCCGGCAGCCCCCACCAGGCTGGCTGGCCGCGGCTTGGCGCTGCTGTCGCGCAGCCAGTAAAAATTGGAGGAGGGGTCTTCCCGCTTCTCTGTTCTGAAATTCTTCTTTTCCTCTCTTTCTTTTTTGTTATTTTCCACCTCCCATTTTTCTCTGGGTGTTAGTTTTTTTGTTGTTGTTGGTTTCTTGGGGAGATTAAGCGTTGGAACTTGAACTCTCTTTTTGGTTGGGGAGAGCTGTGGCGTTTCCCTACTGCTCTGTTGCCATCTTGGTCCCTCCTCCAGCATTCACTTTTTCCACTGTATGTCGAAGACATGAGAGAGACTGGAGAGTAACTCTGTGATTGAAGCAATGAGGGAAAGCTTTCACATGGCTTTTATTAACATGGGATCATACATAGTGCACTGTAACCATAAATGTGGAATGTTGGAACGATTTGGACATCACATCTTCCTAGATATCCTCAAACGCAGCATGGGCAGAAATCTCGTCAAGGAAATGCCTGTTCTGAGGATCCCAGTTTGCTCACTTAAGTCCACAGACATGAGAGAAGTGGTGTGGGCAGAAATAGTGACTAGAAGCCGGGCACCAGGGGTTCACGCTTATAATCCTAGCTACTCAGGAGGCTGAGATCTGAGGATTGCAGTTCAAAGCCAGCCTGGGCAGGACAGACTGTGAAACTCTTATCTCCAATAAACCACCAGAAAACTGGAAGTGGCGCTGTGGCTCAAGTGGTAGAACACTAGCCTTGAGCTGAAGAGCTGAGGGACAGCGCCCAGGCCCAGAGTTCTGGCCCCACAACAGAAAAAAAAAAGAAATAGTGAATAGAAGAGATATTCGGAAGATATTCAGAGATACTGGTGTGGAGAAACTACCTCTGTGTTTTCAATATTTACTGGGTTATTTTTTTTGGATGATTATTTATTTATTTATTTATTGGTCAGTCTTGGGTCTTGAACTCTGGACCTGGGCACTGTCCCTCAGCTCTTCAGCTCAAGGCAAGCGCTCTACCACTTGAGCCACAGCGCCACTTCTGGTTGTCTAGTGGTTTATTGGAGATAAGGGTCTCATGGAGTTTGCTGCCCTAGCTGGCTTTTTTTTTTTCTTGGAATCAATCATTTATCACAAAATGAACAATTTCAATTTTAAATGTACAATTACTTTCCTTCATACTTAACTCAAAAGTGAGTAAACAGGATTTTATTCAAACTTTACAAATATCATTTACACTTAGCCTGGGTTTAAGCATGAGAGAGTTCAACCTGAAGTTAGACTTCATTTCTGAACAGTTAAGCATCTGACAACAGTGCAGAGGATGACCATGCATGACCATACACAGCCCAACGGTCCAGAGAAATCTGTGAACATTGACACAAATGAACTTCAACCCTTTATTTTGCTCTGGTCCACATCATCTCCCCCCTGCCCCCCTTCCAGCCCCAGGGGTTGAACCCAGGGCCTCAGCATGCTAGGGAAGTGCTCTACCCTGAGCTACATCCCAAGCTTTCGTAAGATCTTTGGAGCCTAAAATTGTCTACTGTAAAATAACTTAAAAAATCTGCAAATGACATGTTTATGAAGGTGCACCCAGATGCAAAAGTTTAGCTCAACATTTCTCCAGTGGCTGCTTTAGGTGACTGAAAAACTACTTCTCAGTCCTCACTGTTCAGCATGTATTTGAAAATATGCAGCAGCATGGTACTGTTTTTAGTAAGTTTATAAAGATCAGTACTTGTAACAAAATATAAAATACAGAGTATCTCTTTTTCAAATATGAAGTCTCTGAATGCTTCATTCATCCTTTGGCTTCAAACCCATGCAATGCACTCATATGACACTGTACACTGAGCACTGAGACAGAACACTGTCCGCTAACTGGGGGGGAGGGGTCCCGTGGGAGTACCAAAGCACTACATCGTAGAAAGGAAACGTTGAAGCAAAAATACTTTCTGAATATATATATATATATACTGTACATTATGTAAACAAACATTCAGAATAAGAATCAACACAGGCCAAAATATTGTCTTCTAGGAAACCAGAAGCTTCTTTCTTTGAAATAATATACACGGAGGATGCTTTTTGTTGAGAATGGAGCCTGTTCCTGTATTTGCTCATGTGCTTAGATATCTTGGAAACAAGTAATTATTACATTCATTTGCTAACGGTTTTTCCTTTGCTTAGTTGGCTGGCGGTTGCAAACAAGGAATGCAGAACTATTTCAGTTCATTTTTCACTTACTATTAGTTAAGCACTAGTAAGTAATTATTAGATAAGGAATCTACCTTTATCAGTCTGTATTAGTAATATAAGCAGAATAAGTGAACTAGTGAATTTCAAAATTTGTGCAGGGGATCGTTTTGTTTCCAATAAGGCTAGTAGCAAAACAATCACTACAAAGTCAGTCCAAGCTAGTAGTAAACCCCTGATTTAGCAGGCTGAATCCAAGTTTGAAGTTAGGTAATTCTAATTCCTATATTACTGTGCAAATCTAGAATTTCCTATGTAAAAGAGAGTGCTGGCAGCTTCAAAGCCCTGTGGTAAAAGAATGAGATACTGATTAGGGTTTGAAATGCAGAGAAACTGTGTAAAGGAATCTGAATATTAATAATGGTGTGTTAGCCATGGCCTCACAATTCTCTTAATGAGTCAGAAACTGAGACAACTCATTTGTCAATCATGTTCTGAGTTAAAAGCCTAAATCTGAAGCAAAAATAAACACACAAAACCAAAGGTGTGTTTTCTACTGTGATCATAGGCAAGAAGTTCAAGTTTTCTGTTAACATTCGGAACCAGCAGCCACTCCCTTTAAAGGAAGAAGCTGGGTCATGACTGTCCATCCCTTTTCAAAGCTTCCAGTCTGAAGCAATGCATTGCCAAATACTTCCCGGTAGGCAGGGCTGCGTGTATCCAACAAGGAGTAGACTGTTTCATGGTAGGGCGTCTGCAAATCATCATCCACCTGGTCAAAGGCATAACCAACCACCCTCAGCCCTGCTTCAGTGAGCTCTAGGCAGTATCTGTTCCTTTCCTTTGTCTCCACATTGATATAGGCCACGTCATCTGCGCAGCGCAGGCTTTTTGAGACAAACATGTTGTTAACAGCAAAGAGGACGTCATTCACTACTGCTTCTGCCTCTAGCCGCATGTCCTTCACATCAGTTCCTTCAAAACCATTACGCTCCGAGCTGTCTTTGAACCCTGACACACTGCTTAGCTCCATGGGGTTGTAGTCGGTTTCCATCCCTCGCACCCACCAGGTGTCCAATTCCTCATCCTCCTCCCGAGGCGACTCCCTAGCTGGCTTTGAACCGCCATCCCCAGATCTCAGCCTCCTGAGTAGTTAGGATTACAGGCGTGAGCCACCAGCGCCCGGCTTTTGATGATTTAAAAAAAGAAAAAGAAATGTAAGTAGTTGTTCAAAGGGGTTTCCATTGAACATCGCAGTTCATGAGTGCAGTACATCTTGGCCTCCTCCCAAGCAGGCACGGTGCACAAATGAGAGCCAGGAGGAGAGTCTGCTGTCTGCTTGCTGCTGGCGTGCCGGCTGCGTTGCTGAATCCCACCCACAGCCAAAGAAGCACAGAGCCACCACGCCAGGCCAGGCCTGCATTCTCAGCTCCGTCTTTGGAAGCTGGTGGCCACATGGACATACTGGGCAGACCTGGGAGAGTTCCAGCAGACAAAGCTGGGGAAATAGCCAGACATGTAGGCTCTCACTTCAGCTCTCTGTGTGGATAAGCGCTGGACCCACCAGGTGGCAAAATGTTTGACTACTGAGCTACACTTGTGTTTCCAGAATAGCATCAGAGAGTTGACCACAGCCTTGCCACCATCCAGTTGTACCTATCCATAGAGAAGCTGCCATCTGAAAGATCCTGGGAGATGAAACACTGCAGCCAAAACCTTGCACAGAGACGCATAAATGTTGACACAGAAATATTAATGTAACGAAAGCACAAGGACGTTTGTCACCTGCAATACAAAAGTTCCACCATGCCGGAATTGAAGGAAAGGGACGTAGATGAAAACCTAAGCAGTGGACTCACAAGGTGAAGGTCAGTGAGATTAAGGAGATGTGCAAGCCCCTGACAGGTCAAACGAAGAGCCAGCTGATGAACACAGAGAGGAAGCCACAAATGCACGGAATGAAGTAATAATGCACAGTCTGACTAGAGGGCTGGGCTGGAGCTCAGTGGTAATGCACTAGCGTCGATTCCCCAGTACCAAAAAAAATCTGAATAGAATTTTGGGGAAAATTTTTTTAATATTTTGGACAGGACAGAGACCAAATGAAAATATCAGTCAAGTCTTGAGAATAAATGGAAATGAGTATCAGGGCTTAAACATAAACACAGATGAGCTAGATCTGTCAGGCATAGGGAAAATACTGCGGCAGTATGAACGGAAGTAAAATTAGTCAGGCAAATTACGTAGTAAGCAAGCTAATTGCAAAGTAATAGGCTTCATGAAAAAGTGTATGTTAAAGAATGCATGGTTGTTGCTGTAGAGTTGTTTAGCACCAGACCGAGGAAAATTGTTTGTTACATGAGATCTGTCCCTGATTACACGACAGATTTAGTACAAGATGCCCAGAAAACATTGAAAGATTCTGCAGGAGATTTCCAACATCTTTTTCTGAATACTGTCTTCCTGGTTATTTATTTATTTCATTTTGGTGGGATAATCCCAGAGTTTTACACTTGAGGAATACTGCAGTTAGTGGAAACCATACATGGCGATCAAATAGTTGAGTTGAGAAACTTTCTTCATTCAAGGCTGGCATTCTACCACTGGGGCCACAGCTGCACTTCCAGAGACTTCTTTGTCAGTTATGAACTCAGGACCTGGGTGCCATCCCTGAGCTCTTTTGCTCAGGGCTACCTCTGTACCACTTTGAGCCACAGTGCCCCTCCAGTTTTCTGGTGGTTAACTGGAGGTAAGAGTTTCATGGACTTTGAACTGACTTTGAACTGTACTCCTTAGCAGCTAGGATTACAGGCAGGAACCACCAGTGCCCAGTGAGAGATTTGTTTTATCAGTGAATTTCCTATTAGCCAACAGCTTTTATGGGATTCTTTACATCTTCATACAGAGTTGCAATGTATTAGAGAGTTATTCACCTTCTTTTTCCCTCTCGACTTTCCAACTTCCTTCTCAATAGCCTCAGGTGGGAATATGTTTTATATGTATGTCTGTATGTAAGTACATGCCCACGAGTTTGCATGTATTTTAGATCTAGCTTTCCACATGGGTGAAAACACAATATTTGGGTTCCTGCGCTTGGCTGATTTTTATTTTTGTTTCACCATGGGGTTTGAACTCAGGGCTAGGTGATATCTCTGAGCTCTTTTGCTCAGAACTGGTGCTCTACCACTTTGAGCCACAGCACTACTTCTGCTTTTCTGATGGTTAATTGGAGATACAAGTCATATATTTTCCTGCCCAGGCTGGTTTTGAACCGTGTTCCTTAGATCTCAGCCTTCTGAGTAGCTACAATTACAGGCGTGAGCCACCAGCACCCAGGTGACTTGGCTTATCTTACTCAAGCTGGTGATCTCCAGGTCCATCATCCCTTATGCAAATGATTTATTTCATTTTCTTTAAGGCTGTATAGTATTTTCGTTTGTATTTAGACAGAACATATCCTTTGCTTATTCATTTGTTCTGAGGCACCTTGTCTGATTCCAACATTCAGCTATTGAGCACAGTACTGAGCTTGGGTATGGAAGTGTATATTGATTTACTCTCATTTGAATATAAGTGGAATAGTGGCAAGTCAGGGACATAGGTAGTTTGGTAATTTGTTTGAGGAGATTGCATACTGAGCACTCTCCGGCATTTTATTTTTCTCGATTTCCATTCTGACTGGAGTGAGATGAGATGGAAGTGTAATTTGGGTTTGGATTTCTTCTGTGGCTAAGGAGGTTGAGTATTTCTTCAGGTATCAGCCATTTTTATATTGAGAATTGTTCAGTTTTCTAGCCCATTTATTAATGGGATAATGTGTTCTTTTGCTGTTCAATATTTAGAGTTCATTGTGTATTCTGGATATTAATCTTTTACCTGTTGAATAGCTGGTGAGGATTGTTTTCCCATTCCATGGATTGTGTGTAGATTCTAGTCATTGTTTCTCTTGCTATGACGAAACTTTATAATTTGATGCAATCCCATTTGTTAATTCTTGCTCTTATTTCCAGAGTACTTTGGCTCCTAATCAGAAAAAGAACACATGTGCCTATGGCTTCCAGGGTTTCCCCCTATGTTTTCCTGAAGTGGATGTCATAGATGTTAAGTGTCACATCTTACATTGATTCTGTGATCTTTTTGGAGTAGTTTTTGGACAAGATTAGAGATCATTGTCTGATTTCAGTCTCATACAAGTGGATAACCAGTTTTCCCAGCACCATGTTGCTGAAGAGACTGACTTGTCTTCATTGTATGTTTTTGGCTCTTTAATAAAAATTAGGTGTTGGTAGCTGTGTGACTTTCATTCCTGGGTCTTCGGTTCTGTTCCATTGGTCCTCAGGTCTCTCCATGCCTCTACCATCGTGATTTTCTTACTATTTTTTTCTCATAACTGATTTTGCTATTTTTGGATCTGTTATGCTTCCATATGCATTTTTGAGTGATTTCTTTTATTTCCATGAAAAAAACATTGGGACTTTAATAACTCCCAATGTCTGTCTCTGTGTTGGTCAGTCATGGGGCTTGAACTTCTTGAGCTCTTTTTGCTCAAGGCTAGCACTCTACCACTTTGAGCCACAACCTCATCTCTGTTTTTTTTTTCAAAGTTTTTATTGTGATTAAGTGGTTACATAATTTCCCAAATTTCACAGTATTGTGGGATAATGATGCTCAGTTAAAGTCACAAACACATTCTAACTTTCCTGGAGCAAATTGTCTATCACGGTCTATAACATCTATGAATTCTATGAGCTTTGCAATACAGTTATTTCTTCCACATTGGGTGATGTGTACATTTCTTTTGTTTTGCATAGCATCAGCTGTTCCCTCTTTCCCAGTCATTCCCTCCCTCCCATCGCTGCCATTAAGTTTCTTAGTTCATTTTGGTCAATCTCCAGTGCAGCTGATGGGTCCCTCTGTTGTATGTTTTTCCCTGATTCGCCTGGGTCATCTTCCTGGTTCCCCTCTGGTGTACACATATACAGCATACATGTGATCAGCAGCATGGGGTTATTTAGTAGTGGTTCGACCAGATGAGTGGAAGTTCTTTGTTTCTTAAGTCCTGTTAATTTTGTTGTATCACCTAACATGTTGGATTTAGCATCCACTTATCAGAGAGACCATGTACCGTTTGTCTCTTTGCTCTTGGCTTACCTCACTCAACATGATTTCTTCTACCTCCATCCATTTCCCTGCAAATGCCATTATTTTGTCCTTTCTAATGGCTGCATAATATTCCATTGTGTATAGATACCACAATTTTTGGATCTATTCATCTGTGGTGGGGCATCTGGGTTGTTTCCATATCCTAGCTATTGTGAACAGTGCTGCAATAAACATGGAGCTGCACGTGTCCTTGTATACTGGTTCCTGTTGTTCAGGTAGATGCCTAGAAGTGGTATGACTGGGTCATAAGGGAGGTCCATCTTTAGCTTTCTGAGGACCCTCCAGACTGCTTTCCAAAGTGGTTGTATAAGTGTACATTCCCACCAGCAGTGTAATAGGGTTCCTCTTTCTCCACATCCCCTCCAGCATTTGTCGTTGGCTGATTTGTGGATGTGGGACATTCTGACTGGGGTAAGGTGGTATCTCAGGGTTGTCTTTATTTGCATTTCCTTCACCACCAGGGATGATGAACATTTCCTCATGTGTTTCTTTGCCATTTTTATTTCTTCATCTGAGAAGTCCCTCTTTAGTTCCCTTGCCCATTTAGTAATTGGTTTGTTAGGTTTGGGAGGGATTAGTTTCTTGAGTTCCCCTGTATATACTGGATATTAACCCCTTGTCTGATATATTGCTGGTAAATATTTTTTCCCAATTAGTTGGTTGTCTTTCTAGCTTGGTTGTGATAGCTTTAGCTGTGCAGAAGCTTTTTATTTTAAGGTAGTCCCATTTGTCGAGTCTCTCTCCAACTTGTTGTGACCCTGGGACTCTGTTCAGGAAGTTCCTTCCTGTGCCTACTAGTTCAAGTGTCTCTCCTACTCTGTCCTGCAGTAGTTTCAGAGATTCAGGTTTGATGTTAAGGTCTTTAATCCATTTTGAGTTGATGTTGGTGCAT